AAGCAAAGGAGGGTAAACTTTGCTTTTGAACTGCCATGTCATCAGTTCAACGATTCAATGCCCATTGGAGAACCTGTAGTCAGTTGCTGCCGGTTTATATTTAGCTCGCTACGTGATTCACTGAGGTCAGGAAGTTAAGTGTCTTACCAGTTACCTCATACATATTCATGAGCGTCACGTTTTCTCGGAGAAAACGTGAAAACTAGGAGAAAACTAAAGAAACGGGGAACCTTTATCAAAATGCCCTGTTTCTTGGGTTTCTTTACGCCGTGTGGAAAAGGTCGAGAAAACAAAGAGTACAAAGCAAATAGTTTTGAAGCAACTGGATTTTGATGCAAAAACTCTAATGTAAGGAAAAAGTGGCTACCGTTGGAGGCTCTCTCATCGAGTGGAGCCTCACAAATTGTCTTTCGTACACTGGAAAATCTTTGGTTCCAACGCCATTGTACCGCACAAAACCATGCATTGAATCAAGGGTCACGAAAAGTGTAAACCAAAGTAATATAAATCCAGCTTGATAAACAGACAAGTTTGGAATGAGATAAATATAAATGTCGTGTGCGGTTGGCCTTTCCCATCTCAGATTTGTCTAATTACTTTGATTTGAGAAATTTTAGTTTGTGTTTTGAAAACGCTGATTTTATTTTGAAAGGCGGAGATGACTATATGTCATCTTTAGGTGTCTTACCCGAGCTGAATACACTTCTCTATAATATTTTTTTTAATTCGGAATCTAGTGTGGGTTGGGGAAAGCAGGGAACCTGTAATCTTTCATATTAATAAAGGGGGTAAGTTTCTAAAGAAACTGTGGTGCTGCATCGGTGGGGGTAACAAGATAATTTAGTTATATCAGCTAAGTTGAAATTGTAAGAGCCCATGACTGTAAATATCGAGAATTGCTGGCCAAGCTGAAAAATCGAAAATTCTTATAATTTTCCAGGAAAACCCTTTTAGGGAGATATATTAGAAAAAATATTTCGAAGTCTGAAAAATCAAATGTTTCCGAGAAAATGGGGAAAAACGAAAATTCGGGTTTTTACCTAATTAATTATGCAAAAAATACAGTAAAATTGAGCAACTTTAGTGTGCTAGTACTGAAGGAGGATGTTTCGTAAGAAATCGGGGATGTTTTTACTTGAAAATATAATTCATTTGATTTTTATTTATGGCACTTTTAGGAGCTTTGGTTTAATTTTAAAAATTACAAGATTTTTTAACAAAGTACTCTCAAACACTTGTTGCAAAAAGCGAAAATTCGAGCAACTTCAAGCCTTCAAAACGCGTCTTGGTATGTGAGAAATCATGTCAAAATGCATGCTGCCAGAAAGTTTGGTCCTTATACTAAAATAATATGAAATAAAAGATTTGGGTAATTAGAAAAGTGCCGGCAAAATACAAGAGTTTACGACGCAATGTGGCCAAGGTCATGAATTTGCATGATACAAATCAGTTCTAGAAATCGTACTTGAGAGCTACGAAGTAAACAAGATAGTCAAAGATGGTTAAAACAATTATTTGATATGGAAATGATATGAAATTATACAATAAAAAATCCATAGACATTGCTGAAGAGGGCTGTAAATTGATGTGTAGATACGAAATTTTCTGTTAATTTGAATTGCAGAAGACTTTGCTATTGTTGACTCGTTATTTCAACAGCACTACCTACACCTAACTATAGATAAGGGCCGCTGAATATTTCACCATTTTTGTTGACTAGGTGTTTATCATCGACATTATTCTTAGTTTAATAGCTACGTTTTCTGCAACTGTTATAATAGGGGGGGGAGCTTGTGGTGCAAGTTCTGGGATTCGTGTAGTGACTAGTGTTAGACAGTCTCGGGGAACGCGAAACTGTTCCCACACGCAAAAAAAGATTAATGACATCAGTTTACTGCACAACTTCAGATTTTATCCTGGTGGAATGAGGGTGTGGCAGACATTTGATAAAGGCCCCGGCAAATGTATCTCTTTGGAAGGAACAAATGGTAAACTTTACGTTATATTCTCTTTCCAGTTTCCAGCTATAATGTAGCATGATCTCTCTTTAGTTTTGAGACTAAAAAAATTCAGCGAGGGAAAGCTTGAAATCAAGATCACTTGAAAACATCAAACCTGGCGCCAGTTTTTGTTATAAAAATTCATTTCAAGTTTTTTTTATTTCGAACGCTATACTGGAAAAAGAAACTTTCACTTCAGTTTAGGTAGCAGTGCACAAGCTGTACCTAACGCTATTTTCGCTGTGGGAAACGCACCAAATCTCGCTCTGGACAATTTTTAGGTGTATTTGATTTTGTCGTTAATCATATTTCATGTTATTATTTTCCACAGAACGCCATTACCAAAATATTCCCTTGGCGAATTTAAAGAGATCGCCCCAAGGAGAAAACTTAAAGAGCCTACTAAGTGAAGCCTACTGGCCGTGAAGTGAAAGGCGATGTTCAAGTGTTTCTACGACCAAAAGAGGGCAGCACGCGTAGTTTCGAAAGGCATTCTTCTCTGGAAAAGCATCTCGCGTTCGGAATATGCACAAAGACGGTTGAAAGGGAAACATTTCTTGATAAAGCGAAGGTTAAATATGCCGCAAGGCTCGAGGAAGGTTCAAGTTCCGTGCCAACTATTCCTCTACCTCCTGAAACCTGTCCACGTAGCACTGAAGGCTTCGCTTTCAAACAAGTTAAGAAAGCTTACCGGTTTAACGAAAAGCAACGAGAATATCTGACTGTTAGATTTACCATCAAACAAGAAAGTGGCAAAAAGGTCGACGCGGAAATGGTTGCAACAGAAATGAGAAGAGCAAAGGGATCGAAAGGGAAGCGCTTGTTCAGTGTCTCCGAGTTTTTGGCGACTCAACAAGTAGCTTCATTTTTTCCAGAATGGCACCAAAAGTGAAACAGCAGACAGCCCTCTGCGCACAAGCTGTAACTGAGGAAGATCTGGTTGCTATGGAAGAAGAGTTTAATTTGTCAAATGCTAAGGAGTCTATTTTTGAGCAGTTACATTAAAATGTAACCTGGGGTTGATCAGAGAAAAAAGACATCTTACATCGCTCTGCTCGAAGACCTTGTTA